CAGAAGCGGGAAACGGCCCAAAGCGAGTGTCGACAGATTTGACGTTGCCAAGAAGGATGCAACATCGCAAGCAATCGCCAACGGAGGCCCAGGCCCCATCTTTCTGCGCGATCCTTCGGGTCGGATCGGTGTTCCGCGAAGATCCCAGGGCCCGAAACTGGGCGCAGACGCCCGTTGTGAACAGAAATGCGCCGCCGGGATCTCGGGGCACGTCCGGGGAGGCCTCCTCGGACCTCGCAGCCCGACCGACCGCTCGAGCGGCGGCGCCGCGAGGAGGTCTGGGGGGCCCAGGCCTCCCTGAGCTGGGCCGGAGCAGGTGGGGTCGGAGGATCGCGCCGCATCGCCGAGGCATCGGCGGTGCGGCTCCGTCTTGGGCTGTCAGAAGTCCGACGAGGCCAGAATGCAAGAATGATGCAGAAGCTGAGGGAACTTTGCAATCTGCTGTTGGCATCGAGTGCCCCCTTGGAGCCGTCCTGGGGCGTCTTGGGGCCCCCTTGAGCTGTCTTGTGGCCTGCCTGGCGTGCTGGAGCCCTTCTGGCGTGTTGGGCATCTTGGGCATCGGCGATGCGGCTCGATGTGGAGCCCGACCTTCTCCACGCCGGCGTCGCCGATGTACCGCCGACGTCGCCGACGCATGCGGAGTGATCCTCCAGCCACATCTGCTCGGACCCCATCTGGGATGCCTCTGGAGGAGGTCCTGGGAGGGAGCCTCCCACCTTGAGCTGTCTTGAGGCCTGCCTGGCGTGCTGGAGCCCTTCCTGAGCCATCTTAGAGAGCATCTTGGGCATCTTGGAGGCCACGAGAGTGGACCTGAAAGCTCCGAGGGCCCCAGAGGTGCGTTGAGGAGCTCGGCCCCCCACCCGCCCTCCCCCGCTCGATCGGGACTTTGGACCCCTCGGGAGGGGGAAAGGGGAAGGGAGACGGCTACACATCCCTCACGCCTTTTCACTCCTGGCGAGCCAGATTCGGATCATCGTCACGTCGTCGGCATTATCGCCATCGCCATTCTCACCATCGTCACCATCTATCAGCAGCATCAATGCTCGTCGTCGCCGCCGCCGCCGCCGTCGTCGCCGCCGCCGCCGTCGCCGTCGCCGTCGCCGCCGCCGCCGCCGCCGCCGTCGTCGTCGCCGTCGCCGTCGCCGTCGACGCCGCCGCCGCCGCCGTCGCCGTCGTCGTCGCCGTGGCCCGGCGACCTGCACCCGCGCGGCCGACGAGGAGCGCGCGGCCGCTCGCTGCCGCGCGCGTGTCGCGACGCTGCAGCCGCCCGCCGCGGCGGAGCCGCGGGCCGCCGGGGCGGCCGCGGGCGGCGCCGGCGAGGCGCGGCGCCGCCGCTCGAGAGGCGACGTCGGTCGGGCAGCGCCGGCGACGTCGGCGGTGCATCGGCGACGCCGGCGGTGCATCGGCCTCGCCGGCGTGGAGACCCCTCACGAGGCCCAGGGGGCCCTCCAGGGAGGCCCTCGGTGTTCCACTCTTGGGGCCCTCCCTCGTGTTCCACTCCCTGGGCCGCCCGGGAGGCCCTCGTCGCCACCGCTGGGCTCGCCTCGAAGTTCGGGTCAGAACGCACGCCGGGAGGGGTCTGGGGGGTCCAGCACAGTGACGTCTTACGCAGATTCAAGATAGACCTCGCCATCCCTGGGGGGGCTGCGATCTGTGAAACCGTCGCCACTTTCGAGGCCTGCTCGGGGGGTCCAGCACAGTGACGTCCTACGCAGATTCAAAGTAGACCTCGCCAATCCTGGGGGGCTGCGATCTGTGAAACCGTCGCCACTTTCGAGGCCTGCTAGGGGGGCTAGTATAGTGGGGCCCCGCAGCTGGCTCAAATGGGACCTCCCAAATGCTGGTCGCATACGTCCATGTCTCGTCATCACCCACTTATGAAGTCGCCCAAGCTACTCATGCCCCGCGTTGCGCAGGGGTTGGGTACGTCGCCAGGGTACTTTTTCGCCCCCCCTCTGCGTTGGGTATTCGTTTTGAATAATGCATTGTGGTTTCCGTCCTTCTCCCGCCTTCCTCCTCCTCCTCCTGCTCCTCTCATCTTTCCTGCTTGCCTTCTACCCTGCCTCCTATCTCGTCGTTCTGCCTGGATGCTCGGTGGGGGGCTGCGATCTGCGAAACTGTCGCCACTTTCGAAGGGCTGCTGGGGGGTCTGCGGAATGAGGCGCCACTCAGGATCAGATTAGACCTCGCCATCCCTGGGGGGCTGCGATCTACGAAACTGTCGCCACTTTTGAGGGCTGCTGGGGGGTCCAGCGGAATGGGGCACCACCCAGGCTCAGATTTGACCTCGCCATCCCTGGGGGGCTGCGATCTACGAAACTGTCGCCACTTCCGAGGCTTTCTGGGGGGTCCAGCGGAATCAGGCACCACCCAGGCTCAGATTAGACCTCGCCATCCCTGGGGGGCTGCGATCTGCGAAACTGTCGCCACTTCTGATGCTTTCTGGGGGGTCCAGCGGAATGAGGCACCACCCAGACCCAGATTCGACCTCGCCATCCCTGGGGGGCTGCGATCTGCGAAACTGTCGCCACCTTTGGGGGTTCCTGGGGGGTCCAGCGGAGTGAGGCACCACCCACATTCAGATTAGACCTCGCCATCCCTGGGGGGCTGCGATCTGCGAAACTGTCGCCACTTCTGATGCTTTCTGGGGGGTCCAGCGGAATGAGGCACCACCCAGGCTCATATTAGACCTCGCCATCCCTGGGGGGCTGCGATCTGCGAAACTGTCGCCACTTTCGAGGCCTGCTGGGGGTCTGCGGAGTGAGGAACCAGCCAGACTCAGATTAGACCTCGCCACCCCTGGGGGGCTGCGATCTGCGAGAACTGCCGCCACTGACTCAGATTAGACCTCGCCATCCCTGGGGGGCTGCGATCTGCGAAAACTGTCGCCACTTTCGAGAGCTGCTGGGGTGGGGGGTCCAGCGGAATGAGGCACCACCCAGACTCAGATTAGACCTCGCCATCCCTGGGAGGCTGCGATTTGCGAAACTGCCGCCACTTTCGGGGGCTGCTGGGGGGTTCAGCGGAATGGGGCACCACCCAGACTCAGATTAGACCTCGCCATCCCTGGGGGGCTGCGATCTGCGAAACTGTCACCATTTTCGAGGGCTGCTGGGGGGTCCATCGGGGCGCTGTTGCGGGCCGCCCGCAGACGTGGCGGTGCACCTTCGAGCGTGTAGCTCCCGCACTGAAAAATGCAGGAAGGAAGCAGGGAAGCTGGCGGGCGAGCTGAGCTAGGCCTCGCTCGCCTCTTGCATTCACTACGAGCAGGTTTAAGCATTTGGTCGAGCGCCGCGGCGACATGGTGCAGGCAGCGCTGCATCTCTAGCGTGCTACTGACACAAGCAACACTCTTCGGTCCCCTCCCGACAATTTCGTCGTCGTCCTCTGCCCCCTGCCACTTTCCCTCTGCTGCTGCCGCGCTGACGGGTCGCCCCCCCGCGCGTCGTTCTCCTGCCATTCGTTCCCGCCCCCATGTCCTCAAGCCTGGGCCCTCGCTCCTCGTCTTTCTGTTGTTGTCCTGTGAATCGTGCCACGTGAGCGCATCCAATGTATAACGGCGCCTGCACTGTCCTTGCCGTGGCAAGTGTGGGCCAACGCCTCTTGTCACTTGATGCAACTGGGTTGGGTACGTCACACGGTAATGTTATTGGGTGTCTCTTTGGGCCGTCTGGGGCCGCCTTGGGCCCCCTTGAGCTGTTTTGAAGCCTGCCTGGCGTGTTGGAGCCCTTCCTGAACCATCTAAGAAAGCATCTCGGGCATCTTGGAGGCCACGAAGAGTGGATTCGAAGGCTCGGAGGGCGCCTGAGGTGCGTTGCGGAGCTCGGCCCTCCACCCCCCCTCCCCCGCTCGAGCGGGATTTTGGACCCCTGGAGAGGGGGGCCCGGGGGAAGGAATCGGCTACACATCCCTCACGCCTTGTCACTCGCGGCGAGCTGGGGACGGCGGATCATCGTCACATCGTCGTCATTATCGTCATCGCCATTATCGTCATCGTCATCACCATCAGCAGTATCAGTGCTCGTCGTCGTCGTCGTCGTTGTCATCATTATCGTCGTCGTCACCGTCACCACCATCGTTACCTTCACCATTGCCATCGCCTTCACCATTGTCATCGTCATCATCATGGGGTCATCATGGTCGTCGCCATCATCACCACCATCGCCATTTCCATCATCGCCACCGCCATCGTCACCACCATCCGCTATCTCCACCCTCGTCACCACCATCGTTGCCATCGTTATCATCAGTATCATCTCCGTCCCCAGGACGCCCGATGTTGTGATGCTTTTTCACGACGTGGACACACCGAGGTCTCGACTCATTCCCTGGGACCGGTTTCTCATGCGGAGTCGTTTTGGACGGTGCCACGACGCGAACTTGTCGGCCTCCTCGAACCTCGCAGCCCGACCGACCGCTCGAGCGGTGGCGCCGCGAGGAGGTCTGGGGAGCCTGGGCCCCCCTCATGGGGTCGTCGTACGTGGGGTCGGAGGATCGCGCCGCATCGCCGATGCATCGGCGATGGGGCTCGATGTGGAGCCCGACTTTCTCCACGCACCGACGACGTGGCCGATCGATGCGGCGTGATCCTCCGACCCCACCTGCTGGGACCCCATCTGGGAGGCCTCCACTGCTCGGAAGTGCCCCTGGTCCAGGGCGCCCCCACCTTTTCGCTCGGGGGCCCTCCTTGGAGACCCTGGGGGCACCTCGGGCCATGAGCACTTTTGGCAACACCCGATCCGCGGGGAGACTACAAGGTACCGCTACCACTGCTCCCCAGACACTGGAACTGCGAAGCGAGCCCAGCGGTGGCGATGAGGGCCTCCCAGGCGGCCCAGGAAGTGGAACACGAGGAAGGGCCCCGAGCAAGAGTGGAACACGAGGGCCTCCCTGGAGGCCCAAGACGTGGAACACTGGGGAGGGCCCCAGGAGTGGAACACGGGGGCCTCCCTGGAGGCCGCACAAAGGGGGGGGAGAACGGCCAGGGGCGCCTCTGGCAGCACCCGACCGCCTGCTGCAGGCGCGCGGGCCGGCGCGCGAGCGCGAGCGCGAGCGGCTGCTCCACGAGCTCCGCGCGCTGCAGGCCGAGGCCGCGCGCCCGCGCGCGCCCTGCGCCCTGCGGCCGCGCACTGCCGGCCGCCCGCGAGCCTCCACCGGCTGCGCGCAGGGTCGGAGCTCCGAGCTCCGAGCTCCGAGCTCCGAGCTTCGAGGCTCGAGGCTCGAGGCTCGAGGCTCGAGGCTCGAGGCTCGAGCTTCGCGCAGCGAGCTCCGAGGTTCGAGGCTCGCCTTCGAGCTTCCAGGGTCGTCTTCGGGCCGCGAGCCTCGAGCTTCGAGCTACGAGCTCCGAGGGTCGAGCTTCGAGGCTCGAGGCTCGAGGCGTGGGTTTTTGGGCGCGTTTTCCGCCCAACCTGTGCAGCTTCAGGGAGGCTCGTTGTCGCCACGGCCGGATCCGTCTCGGACTTCGTGTCGGAGCGCGCCCTGGAGCAGGTCCGGGGGGTCGTCCTTGGACCGCTGGACGACCCGGACCCCTTTGTATCATGAGCAAGAACACGACGTGATGATGCTGCTGATGATGATGATGATGATGATGATGATGATGATGATGATGATGATGATGATGATGATGATGATGATGATGATGATGATGATGATGATGATGATGATGATGATGATGATGATGATGATGATGCTGATGATGATGATGATGATGATGATGCTGATGATGATGATGATGATGCTGATGCTGATGATGGTGATGATGCTGATGCTGATGATGATGATGATGCTGATGCTGATGATGATGGTGATGGTGATGTGATGATGCTGATGCTGATGCTGATGCTGCTGCTGCTGCTGATGATGATGATGATGATGATGATGATGATGATGATGATGATGATGATGATGATGATGCTGATGGTGACGGTGATGACGATGATGAAAACGATGATGATGTTTTCTCCAGCGCTGCTGAAATATCTAGAATATCGTGACACGGCACAATGTGGGTTCGGCCCAGACTCTCCGAACTGGGTGTGTGGCCTCGTTCGTGAGGGCTCTCGAGCCCACTGGCTTGAGCCAAAGCACAACGGTTTTTTTCCCCCAAATAGCTTGCTGAACGGGGTGCCGTTGTGGTAGAAGCAAGTTCTGGCCAGGGGAGGCTGGAGCAGAGGCATCCTCAAGGAAACTTCCAAATTTCGTGGTTCGGGCCGATTCGCTTCAGTCGGGGGTGGACAGAACCCCCAACAGCGACACGCCGATTAGTGAATTGTCCGTTTTCGGTTCTCGAGAGGGCGCCGTGGCCGTTATTTTCCAGGCTTGCGCCCGCCAGCTTTGGGCCTCAGGTCGTTTTCACTAAACCACGTTTTGCTAAAGGGAGGTTTGTCCATCCTCGACTCAGACATCCTCACAGCTCTCGTTTCCGAGTTGGCCAGGATTGGGCGTTTCGCTCGAGACACCCTCGAAACTCTGAGCCCCGAGGTGCCGCGCGCCAGGTGGTCGAGCTCGTTTCGCCGGAGACATCTTCGGGACTGGGCTTAGAGTTGCCGAACGCGAGGTGGCCTGGGCCGCTTCGCATGAGACGTGCTCGCAATTCGGGGCTCCGAGATGCTGCGCGCGAGGCGGTCCGGCCTGTTTCGCTCGAGACATCCTCGCCACTCTGGTCTCTGCGGGTGCTGTGCGCGAGGTGTTTTCCAGCCCGTTTCGCCCGATGCATCCTCGCAGTTCTGGGCTTGGAGATGCCGCGCGCGAGGCAAGTAGTCTAGCGCGTTTCGCCTGAAATATCCTCGCAACTCTGGGCTCCAAGCTGCCGCGCGCGAGGTGGTCCGGCGCGTTTCGCCCGAGACATCCTCGCGCAACTCTGGGCTCCACGCCGCCGCGCGAGAGGTGGTCTGGTGGGTTTCGCTTGAGACGTGCTTGCATTTCTGGGCTCCGAGGTGCTGCGCGCGAGATTGTCTGGTCCGCTCCGCCTGAGACATCTCTTCGCACCTCCGGGCTTCGAGGTGCCGCGCGAGAGCTTGTCCGGCTCGTTTTGCCGGAGACATCCTCCAATCTTTAGTCTCGGAGGACATGTGCGCGAGGTGGTCCAGCTCGCTTCGCCTGAGACATCCTCGCAACTCCCGGCTCTGAGAAAATGTGCGCGAGGTGGTTTGGCCAGTTTCGCTTGAGACATCCTCGCAAATCGAGGCTCCGAGATACTGCGCGTGAGGTGGTCTGGCCCGTTTCGCCTGAGCCATCCTCGAAACTCTGGGCTCCGAGAGGGAGGAGGGATGAGGGATCAGACCCAAACGGACCATTTGATTCCACTTCTGTTGTTAAATTGTGCTCTGAGAAGGGTCTGGGCACCTCCTGAGACATCCTCGCAGTTCTGAGCTCCCAGATGTCGCTCACGATGTGGTGCAGCCCGTTTCGCCTGAGACCTACTTGCAATTCGGGGCTCCCAGATGCTGCGCGCGAGGTGGTCTGGCCCATTTCGCTTGAGACATCCTCGCAACTCCAGGCTCCGAGACGATGTGCGCGAGGTGTTCCTGTTCGTTTCGTGATCATTCGAGTCCAAGCCCACATGGATTTGACCAACTCCAACATTGTACCCAGCAACACCAGCCCCGCTGGGAAGGGCAACTAAAGAAGTTTTACTTGCTGTTGCGACTTCTGCTACTATTCGTGGCGTATATGTCGGTGGAGGCGTTGGGAACTGAACTGCAGAAGCACGTGAGAGATTCTGAGGTAACCCAAACTGTTTTGCATACGATTAGTCGAAGTTGCCGCTTGGTACAATTTACGAGCGCATGCTTATCAATAGCTGATGTACGGCTACTCTGCGCTACCACTGTGTTAACTTTGTCAGAATCCTCCCACACACGTGTGTCACGTGAAATTGTTGCAATGCTGTGCCACATTTTTTCTATTGTATGTCTAGGTATTTGTCTACAATTTACGTCTGATGTATTGACCCAAACTTTGTGGGTACGAGCGGCATCGCCTATTCTGCATAATATGTTGTTGTGTTCTTCCTTCAACTCCACGATGGGGCTGATTGTTGAGCCAAGCTGGACGGTGACGAGAATAATGCGATTGATGCGTGTCCATCAGGGCCTGAGCGCAAACGGCAAACGGCTGCGCTGGATGCGGTCTCGTGGGCTCTCGTGGGCGCCTCCTGGGCGGAGGGGCGCCGAGCCTGGCACCTGCGCGATACCCTTGGTGCCCTGTGCACCCAAAGGCTCGAGGCGCGGATGCTCTGGAGCCAGAACGGCTACGGACCTCCGCCTCCTCCTCCTCCTCCTCCTCCTCCTCTTTCTTCTTCTCCTCCTCTTTCTTCTTCTTCTTCTTCTCCGCCTCCTCCTCGTCCTCCTCCCCCGAACCTCCGCCTCCTCCTCCTCTTTCTTCTTCTTCTTCTTCTTCTTCTTCTTCTCCTCCTCCTCCTCCTCCTCCTCCTCCTCCTCACCTCGCTCGCTCGGGTGCGTCCGACGGCCCCGCCAGGTGCGGCGCGGGCAGGTGTCATTCCGCAGAGGGCATCTGCACACCACCGCCGTGCCTCGGCCGGCCGGGCGCGTGCGCGGCGACCCGGCCCAGGCCAGGCTCGGCCCTGCGGCCTGGCGCGGCGGTGGTGTGCAGACGCCGCCCTCAGCGCCAGGGGGGCCTTCGGGGGCCGTCGCGCGCAGGCCGCGGCGGTGGTGGGAGGTCGGAGGAGCAAGAGGTCATGAGAATGGTGCGGTCCAAGATTTCCAGGACTCCCTCGGCCTCCTGATGTTCCCCAAGGGGCGGCCGAAGCGAGGGCCGCCAGATACTCGGGAGATCCCGAAACATAGCCTGAGCCAGTACGACGCCGACGCCAACGCCGACGCCGACGCCGACGCCGACGCCGACGCCGACGCCGACGCCGACGCCGCCGACGCCGACGCCGACGCCGACGCCGACGCCGACTACGACGACGACGACGACGACGACGACGACGACGACGACGACGACGACGACGACGACGACGACGACGACGACGACGACGACGACGACGACGACGACGACGACGACGACGACGACGACGACGACGACGACGACGACGACGACGACGACGACGACGACGACGACGACGACGACGACGACGACGACGACGACGACGACGACGACGACGACGACGACGACGACGACGAAGCGATCGTGACACTGTTCCCGTCCTGCGAGGGCGCTGCGCACGCCGCGGCCTCCCCCGAACTCCGGCGACGTGAGCTTCGCATGATGGGCCTGTTTCCCACCACCACCACCATGAGTTGGAGGGAGGAAGGAGGTGGTGGAGGATCAGGAGGAGGAGGAGGAGGAGGAGGAGGAGGAGGAGGAGGAGGAGGAGGAGGAGGAGGAGGAGGAGGAGGAGGAGGAGGAGGAGGAGGAGGAGGAGGAGGAGGAGGAGGAGGAGGAGGAGTGGAGGAGGAGGGAGGAGGAGGAGGAGGAGGAGGAGGAGGAGGAGGAGGAGGAGGAAGGAGGAGGAGGAGGAGGAGAGGAGGAGGAGGAGGAGGAGGAGGAGGAGGAGGAGGAGGAGTGAGGAAGGAGGAAGGAGGAAGGAGGAAGGAGGAAGGAGGAAGGAGGAAGGAGGAAGGAGGAAGGAGGAAGGAGGAAGGAGGAGGAGGAGGAGGAGGAGGAGGAGGGGGAGGAGGAGGAGGAGGAGGAGGAGGGGAGGAGGAGGAGGAGGAGGAGGAGGAGGGGGAGGAGGAGGAGGAGGATGAGGAGGAGGACCCCCTCCCCCTCCCAACTTGTGGTGGTGGTGGTGGAAAGCAGGCCCATCATCGTAGGGCACCCGCTTCTTCCCGCGCTCGGCCTCCCGTGGCCGCCGGCGGCCCCTGATCGGGGCCCGGTGGGAGGGATCGGGACCTCTGGAGCCCTTGGCATCGCTCGGACGTGTGCATTTTTCCTTCGGCGAGGACCATCTAGGAACATCCTCGATCATTTGGGGAAAAAGCCACGCACGAAATCGAAAAATGCACGGGGAATGGACGTCCGAGCGATGGCGAGAGCCGCGCAGGGAGCAGATCGTATCGGCGCACGCCTGGGCCCGTGAACGCAAGACTCGGAGGAGGAGAAGGGTATGCATAGCGCTACCTTTCCCTCGTTGTCCCCCTTTTTGGGCCCCCTTGGGAGGCCCTCGTCGCCACCGCTGGATTCGCCTTGAAACCCGGGTCAGAACGCACGCCGGGAGAGGTCCGGGGAGTAGCGGTATCCGTACCTTTCGATTCCCTCAAAGACGCGCACGACACAATAAACAGAGCGCTCAGCGCCCCCCTGGGGTCACGAGCGCCCGCAGCCGCCTCCTCCGCCGGCGTACAGCGCTCGCGCCCTGCACCACACCCTCACGCTAGGTTCGCGTCGTGTCGACCGGCGGCGACCCCGCCGCCGGCGTTCAACGCTGAGCGCCGGCGGCGGCTCAGTATCGGTCCATGCTGAACGATCTGACGTTTCGGAAACGGCCGATCGTTCGCGGCGGAGCGATCCCCGCGGTGTCCGAAGCCAGCGCCGAAGTCGGCACGGCTCGAGCCTGCCGCATCCACTCTGCCGTCGTCGCCGGAGCTCGGGGGGGGCCGCGGTTTGCGCAGCGCCCTCGTAGGACGGGAACAGTGGCATGATCGCGGCGTCGCCGCCGGCGTCGTCGTCGTCGTCGCCGCCCTCGTCGTCGGCGTCGTCGTCGCCCTCGTCGTCGGCGTCGTCGTCGTCGTCGTCGGCGTCGGCGCGTCGTCGCCGCCCTCGTCGTCCTCGTCGTCGTCGCCCTCGTCGTCGGCGTCGGCGTCGGCGTCGTCGTCGGCGTCGGCGTCGGCGTCGGCGTCGCCTCGGGCCGCCCGCCCGTCTCTCTCCCTGCCTGGGTCTCGCGCCCTCTCGCGGGGTGCGCGCGGGGCCCGCCCGGATGGAAGCCGGGCGTCGCCCCTCTGCAGGAGGCATCGTCGAGCACAGTCACCGCATAGCCAGGGGACGATTTTCGCAGTATCTCTGACTACTCTCGATTTTTTTCAACGTGTTTTCCATTTTGAATGATTCTTGAATGTTCTTAATTCCGGTTTTTTGGTTTTTGTATTTTCATGTTTTTGTTGTTTTTTTGTTTTTTACTCTTGTGGTTGGTTCTTCAAGCAAAGCACATGCGGCGTCCAATATTCCGTCTGGAGTGGGAGGACACGCCCGACCTGGGCCTAGATCGGCGGCGCGCGCCCAGGGGGGGGGGTAAGGAGGCAAGGGGGGGGGAGGACAGCGCCCTCTCCTCGGAAGGCGCAGGAGACCTCTCCCGGCCTGCCGAGGAGCTCTCTTTTGGCCCTGTCTGCAGCCGGGCGTGTCCCTCGGCAGGAGGAGCATTCAAAAGTAGGTTACACAAACAGTAGGTGGACGATTTTTCGACTATTTTGGGGTATGGTTTGTTGAGTATCTTTCACTTCAGGAGGGGGAAAAAACACAGACACAAGTAGTAATCTTCGACTTCCAGGAAAAGATGGGGAAATATGGGAAGTGGGGGGGGAGCACGAAAATCCACCCAAAACATGGAAAAAGAGAGGGAAGCTGGTTGTTTGTGTGTGCTCGTATGTGTGCCCTTGGGCCCCTTTCATCATTTTTCGTCCACGATCCGCCTGTAGGAGGACATGCCCGACCTCTGGGCCTCTTCCGAAGCCACCGTCCATCTTCTCGGGAGCCGGAGGCCCTCCGAGCAGCCCTCCGCCGCCTCCGAGGATCGGCGGCGCGCGCCCCTCGGTCGTTGAGAGCAGGTGCAGTCAACCCGCGCAGTAAGGTTTTTTTTGTTGGGGGGGGGGGGGTATATAGAGAAATATTAAATATTGTTCTTATTAGTTTATATTCTAATTATATAATTTCATTTATATTTTATGATACTATTTTTTGTTTTAATTGTTCTTCATAAGCAGCATAGAGGACCACTTCGTGAAATATTCACCTGCACGTGATAAGTACGTATACTACACTCGAGAGCTGACAGGTCACTAGTGCCTCGCTGTCACGCCGCAGAGCGCAGTAAGGATGCGCGATAAGGACGCAAGGGCCTTGGACGCCCAATTCGAAGCTCTTCGAGCGGGGCGCGGCCAGCGGACGTGTCGAAGGACGGACCGATGGGGGCAAGGGTGCACGGGTACCCTTGGGAAGGCTGCCCATCCTTGTTATGCGGGTTGACTGTATTTTTTTTGAGTCCCAGATTCCAGAGCTACTTTGAGCGCCTTCCTACTTCAAAGATCGAGGGGCTTCATCTTTCCCGTCCTCCTTAGGGGGCGGGCGGGTCCCGATCTGCCTTCGACGCCTTCCTCTGCTTCATGCTTCTGCCTACTTCTTCCGACCGATGGGTACTCGAAATCCCCTAGTAATCGTCCCCCGGGTCCGGTCTTTTAAGGCGCTGTTTTTGGAAGCGGGGGAGTCCAGTTTATTAGGGCGGTTTCTTTAAACCGAAGGCGAGGGGGGCCGGAATATTAAGGCCCCCCGTTGACAGGGGGGTCCGGAAAATTAGGTTGTTGTTGAAGGGGGGTCTGGCTTTTTAAGGGGGGGGGGGGCGATTAGTGAGGGATTTCGAGTGAGAGTGACCTTTCGCCGGAGTGACCTTTGACGCGGGCTCACAGGGGTGGCCCCAGCACCTGGCCCGCGCGCTGGGACGTGGGCCCCTCGCAGTCCCCCTTATGAAGCCGCGCGCCGAAGGTCGCTCTTGCCCAGGGTCACTCTTGCGAGTGCCTCGTCCTTCGAGGAGGCCTGCCCCCTCCCCCCCCCCCTTCATGGGTAGGGGGCCACGTGCGAACCCTACCTTTTGGGGAGGGTGGGGTGCACTTCGCTCAGGAGCCCCCTTGCCAATACTTTGGCAAAGGAGGCCCTGTGTGCCAGTGATGGGCTGGAGGGCCCCCGGAGGGCCCTTGCCGGTGCCGGCGTCGGAACATAGTTGGCGGCCTCCTGCAAGCTGGATGCCTGATCTCCATTGGTTCGAATCCTGTCCAGACTGCGGACAAAAAAGAACTTCGCTCGGGAGCCCCCGAGCGCCCCTTCAGAAATCGTGGGGGGGGCAGGGGCAGGGTTCGCAGGTGGCCCCCCAGTGGGCACGCCGCGGACCAGAGTCCCATTTCGGAAGCTGGAGCATATGCATTACCAGCGGCGGGCTGTTTTCAATCCCAGCACTTTTCGAGGGTCGGGGACGACGCTGGGGCGGTGTGGTGTATACTTTTTCCCCCGATGTCCCGGGGAAGCAGCGAAAAATGTATACGCCAGGATCCCGCATGCGCCAGGATCCGCCTGCCTGTGCGAGATTTCGTGCGAGGCCAGACACAGGCGTCGGTGTATAGAGTTCGGCTCCTTGCTACCGGCACGGCCCAGGCAAGCTTGTGCCAGATGTGCATGTCTAGGGGAACAAAAAGTGACATAAGCATGAAATCTCGGAGGCCCGCGCGGATTTCTCGGATCGGCGCTGGGACCCCCCTCCCTGGCGCGCGGAGCGCGCCGGGGGCGGCGCCGGAGGCGCCGCCGGGGGGCCCCAGCGCCGCTCCGAGAAGTCCGCGCGGACCTCCGCGTTTTTATGTATGTGTCACTTTTTGTTCCCCTAGACACGTACATCTGGCACAAGCCTG